AGTGGAAAAAGGATGGCCTACAGGTCTCGCGTGAGTTGTTCAGAGCATCACTGGTTGCTTATCAGGATGCTGTGAGGGCTGCCAGAACGGCCTATTTTGCAGACATCATCGAAACACACTCCAAGAATCCCAGGATTCTCTACAAAACACTAAACTCTGTTCTGGTGTATCAAGAGCCTAGCTTCATGTCTCCTACAGCTGCTGGAAACTCACAGATTCTTTGTTCATAAAGTATCGGGCATTAGTGCAGCTATTTCTGGTAACTCTATTGACCCTATTCTAGTTCCTCCATCACCACCCACCCTGAGCTCCCTCAATACTGTTTCATATTCTGAGCTGAGTAAGCTTGTTGTGAGGCAGAAGCCATCTGGCTCTCCACTTGACGTTCTGCCGCCTCGTCTCTGGAAGGCTTTCTTTCCGTGTCTTGGCCCTTCACTTGGTCAGATTATCAATGGGAGCCTCAGCACAGGTGTGGTCCCAGCTGCTTTGAAAGCAGCAGTTATTCGGCCGACCCTGAAGAAACCTGGTGCTGATGTCTCTGTGATCGCAAATTACAGGCCTATCTCTACCCTGCCTTTTACATCAAAACTGCTTGAGAAAGTCGTTTATCAGCAGCTGGTCTCACATTTAGCTGACTCTGATCTATTTGAGGTTTTTCAATCAGGGTTCAGGTCTGGCCATAGCACAGAGTCGGCTCTACTGAGGGTTCTAAATGACATCTATCTATCACTAGATCAGGGTACATCTGTGGTGCTCCTGTTGTTAGACCTGACAGCAGCCTTCGACACAGTTGACCACGCGATTCTACTCGATTGCTTGGAACGATGGGTTGAGATCAAAGGGTCTGCTCTGGATTGGTTTAGATCGTATCTCCACAACAGGACATTCTGCATTAAACTGGGTGATGTTTTTTCATCTTGGGAGGGGCTCCGCTGGGGGGTCCCGCAGGGATCGATCCTTGGTCCTCTTTTGTTTGCCATTTATCTGCTTCCTCTGGGGTCAATCTTTCGTAAACATGGCCTATCATTCCATTTCTATGCTGACGATTGCCAGATTTACTCTCCATTGTGTCAGGAGAAAGGTCACTCTATCCAGTCCTTTGTGTCCTGTCTTAACGAGGTGAAGTCTTGGCTAATGGCCAACGTTCTACATCTGAATGAGGGAAAGACAGAGCTCATTGTTTTTCACCCCAACAGCAGGAATGTGGGTCGTTATGTTGATCTTGGCCCTCTTTCTCCTTACTCAAAACCAGTTGTTACCAGTTTGGGGGTGAAATTTGATGCTGGACTTAAATTTGATGCTCACATCAATTCTATGATCCGGTCCAGTTTCTTTCACCTGAGACGCCTTGCAAAAATCAAGCATATGCTGTCGAGAGCCCACCTGGAGCGGGTACTTCATGCCTTTGTTATTTCTAGGCTTGACTACTGCAACTCTCTCTATGCAGGGTTGTGTCAGTCATCACTGTGTCGCCTACAGGTCGTGCAGAACAGCACAGCCAGGTTCCTGACCTGGACCAGGAAACAGGACCACATGAGTCCAGTTCTGGCCTCCCTGCACTGGCTTCCGGTTTGCTATCGCTCACAATTCAAAATCCTCGTCTTTGTTTATCATTTCTTCCAGGGTGGTGGTCCCCCTATCTAGCCTCACTCCTGAACAGACATTCCCCATCACGCGCTCTGCGCTCCTCTGACCAAGGCCTGCTCGCTGTCCCTCGGTCTAGGTGTCGTACTCGCGGGGACTGGGCTTTCTCAGTCCTAGCACCGTCACTCTGGAACCAATTGCCACCCTCAATTAGGCTGTCCCCATCTCTGCCAGTCTTTAAGAGTCGCCTAAAAACACACCTCCTCCACTTGGCGTTTCCTGTACATGTTTGATTTTGGCCCTGTTTTATGTTGAATTTATTTCACAGTTTTCATTGGTTCACTCTATCCATTGTTTTACACATTTGTTCCTGTACCAGAATGTTTCACCTTTTTTTGTAATTTGTATTTTGTAATTTGAATTGCTTTTATTTTTGATTTATTCAATATATTTACCTTCTACTGTACCATGTTCAGCGCCTTGGGCTTCCTGACAGGGTTGCGGAAGGCGCTTTATAAATAAAGCTTTCATTGATTGATTGATTCTTTTTTTCTTGTCTCTTTCTGCAGGTCTAGAAGCAGACTCTTGTTCATTGTTGTTTATTCTTGTGGACCCCCCCCCCCCCCCCCCCCCCCACCACCACCTTTTGTCTTTTCCTTTCTCTTTCACCTCTGACTCCGTGTCTGGTCGGAATTACAAAGCATTCAAAAACAACAACAATAAAGTTTTAAGTATCAGGCGTGACAGTAAAAGCAGATGCTTTGATGCCCCACCTGAGAGTAAATCTGTAAGGCTTGTCACCAGCATTCAGACATCAATTCTGTTTGCTTCACAGCCAGACGGGACACGGTAAAAAAAAATGAATAAATAAATAAAAAAGCTTTGACACAGAATTTCCCGTTGCTCTGTGCCTGTGTTAAAACTGCAAGGTCGTATCAGAAAGACATACATATTGTAACAGACAATATTCTATCAAAGGGCTGAAGCAAAAATCAGGAAGGTTTTGGGAAATAATTGCTGAATGGCCGAAATGGGTTTCCTCCATAGGGTGGCCGGGCTCAGCCTTAGAGATAGGGTGAGGAGCTTGGACATTCGGGAGGGACTCGGAGTAGAACCGCTGCTCCTCCGCATCGTAAGGAGTCAGTTGAGGTGGTTTGGGCATCTGGTCAGGATGCCTCCTGGACGCCTCCCTGGAGAGCTGTTTCGGGCATGTCCTGCCGGCAGGAGGCCCCCGGGTCGACCCAGGAAACGTTGGAGAGGTTACATCTCCAATCTGGTCCGGGAACGCCTTTGGGTCCTGCCGGAGGAGCTGGTGGGGTGAGGATGGTCTGGAGCTCCCTAGTTGGGATGCTGCCCCCGCGACCCGGACCCAGATAAGCGGAGGAAGACGAGACGAGAATTGCTGAATGAAAATATCAAACAAAGAAATGTAAATGCTTTCAATTAAAAACGGAGTTTGCTCACTTGAAAATAAGTGTGGAGCAGTTGGACAGTTGATCTGAGGTTCTCTATCCTCTCTGAGATGTAAAACATCGGGCCATGTTTCCTAAATCGGTAGAGATTACGTTAATGTTGACACAGCTGCGTGGTCTTGCTCACTTAGACTTAGGCGAAATAAACATATGCAGTTTCAGACTAAAACATTTAAATGTTAGTAGATTTTAAGCAACTTAATGAACACAATTATTGCCGAACACATCAAATCAATTTATTGAAATTTAAATCATGTAAAATTAGTCAATGTCTAAATATTACTTTTCTTTAAGGGCAGACGGTACGATATTACCCACTTTCATAATTTGGTTTTCATGAAACATGATGAAGCTTAAAAATCTTTGTATATACATAAATTTATTTTAAATAGGATTTAGATGATCAATGAATGATTTGGCTGCTTCGTAGTAAATTTAATAGTTTTTTATTTTATTTTAACGTAATTGATGCAACTTCTAAGGGCCGCATGCCCTGAAAATGAAAATCCCACTGTTTCCTTACCGAAACCCAAACAACTGAGATTGCTGAGTCACGCTGACCTGCTCAAGCAAGAGGGATCAGGCGTCCTTCTTTGAGTGGGGTAGTTATCTGATTCTTTTTGCCAATCTGCTAATTATCTGACGCTTGTGCGTCTGTTGAACACCAACAGTGATGGGCAAGTTACTTCAAAACTGTAATGCATTGTTTATTACTTGTTACCCTCATTTTAAAGTAATTCATTACATTACAATATTACTGATTTTAAAATGTAAGGCATTACACTACTTTTGCATTATTTTAAGTTACATTCACCAATACAACTTCAATATGAATCTGGTAATCTGATGCTCAGTGAGCTCATGACATATATGTGGAAAGTGATGTGGTGTCTGAGCTAGGATTGCTGTTATAAACAGTCAGATATAATAACAGTGCTTTAAAATGATTGTTTATTAAATAAAAGCAACAACAATCTGTACTCTCAGCATGCTGCCATCTTATATTAACTGATCGGGGGTGAGGTGGTGGGGGCTCCAAGCCTATATTTGCCTTGGTCCCCAACTGCCTTGATACGGCCCTGGATGTGGGACTGACTTCTGGGGTGATCTGATTCTATCACTAGTATAAATACTAAATGCTTATGTATTATTGCTTTTCACTGGTAAAAATGTGTATTGGGGATAAATCTACCTACTTTTTTTCTTTTCAAGCACTTTGTTTCGTTTTCTTGATTTTATTTGAATAATTTCCTGCCCTTTCTCTCTCTAACCTTCCTGCATGCTGCAAGTTTTCTCCGTCTTCCAGAAAAACTGTTTCCTAGATTTCCTACTTTCTAACTAATCAGCCAAAGGGATCTACCGAACGCAAAAAAAAAAAAAAAATAAAATAAATAAAAAAAAGGTTAATATGCACTGCGCTCCAGCAGCAATGAGTTGAAATCACTGGGGCACAGATTATGAACTCAGCTGAAAAGTACATGAAGTACCAGAGAATATGGGCTGATATAAATGATCGCAAACGAATTACTTTGTTTTGGTGGAGCCATTTTGTGAATATAACAGCGGCCACGCGCAGGACGCAGCTGGAGTATTTGAGCCGTTACCGCTGCGTCCTCTCTGCTCATAGAATGCCCGCAAAGCTGAGTCCATAAATGACGTCATATATGTAGATACTGGATCTTTTTTCAGGCTTCCCTCAATTTGAATTTTTAGGAAACCCAAATCTTGATTCTGGGTTTAAAAATGCATTGTAATTACCGCATTACTGACAATTGTACTGAGTAAATATTACCCTTTTCTTTCCCTGTAATGCCTTACATTACCACATTACAGCAAAAAGCAATGCATTACAGTAATTAATTACTTTTGTACCGCGTTACTCCCAACACTGAACACCAATGATACCTTGACCATGAGAGTAAATCAAAAAAATATTTAAGCAGGATGTACAAGCTGCCCCTGATAGGAGATCATACAGCCTATCATGGAATGTCTCAGATAGGAGTGACGGTTAAGTTTCGCTTTGAACCTAAATCACATCATCCTTAGGATGATGTTTTCTGTGAATGAAATGGTTTTGCTGACCCTTCCCAATCTCCTTACAGGAACTGCCATAAGTTGTAGAATTGTGCATCACAGTAAATTCATTTCAATATGTATGGAATAGTTTCTTAAAGGGACTTTTCGGACTTTTGAATTTTTATGCTCACGATTGCCCCCTCAGGCCAAAAGCGTAACGGCTTCAATAGTAGGCTCGTGCACGAGGCGCGCATGCTGTACGTGCACACTTCTTAATGAAAATAACAGCTGAGACAGAGCACAGAGCTCTGAGAGCATGTGTGTGTGTGGCCTGGAGGACAGAAGAACACAGCAAATTATTAAAATAATGTGCCTCTGTCTCTGCAGCTGCACTTTCTCGTCGGCCGGCCGAACGTGCAGTGTGTGTGTGTGTGTGTGTGTGTGGCCCGGAGGACAGAGGACAGGAGAACACACAGCTAATTAATTAAATTATTTGGTTCTGTACCTTTCTCTTCAGCACAGCCGAGAACGGTTTATGATGGGTCAGTCCTCCTGCATGCTCAGATCATTCCCTTCCCTTGCTTGAAAAATTGTTCCAAAATGAAAGTTGAACCCACATCTTTTCTATCTGTGAATTCAATGCCGTTCAGCGAGTCTCAAATAAAAATTTAGGCGTCTTATTACTGTAAAAAAATATACAATTAATGTAAAAAAGAAACTCCAAATAAACTATATTCACACCCAGAATCAAACCCAGGTCCTCAGCATGTATGTCAGCCATCTTACTAGGTGAGCTAAAGCACCAGTAACATTAATAGTATCTGTAACATTTATATCCTTGATGACAGCTGAAGCAACGTTCAAAGAACGGTTCGGAGCGAAAATGGCTATTTTGTTGCTAATTTGCAGGAAATATCTAGAAGAAAGTTCTACAGAAAGTGTCGCGTGCCCGTCCCATTTACCGGTTCCTTTAAAACCCAGTTCCGTTAGAACTTATGAGACGGTGCATCCATCAGGGTTCGAGGGGATGTCGGCAAGTATAATTGTACTAGATCCTGGATTGGACCATCTAATTAGAATCTTGTCTTTTATTTTAAAGGTGAAATGACTTGCTCGAATAGCCAGCCCCAGAGTACTACACTTCTTTTAAACTCGTTACCTTTTGGTTAAGATACTAGAGAGAAGTCTGGAGGCAAGCCAAGCCTCTCAGCAATTGTTTGGATTACCCGGAATTAATTGCGCCTCTAACAGCTTATGTGGGAGGTTGGTAACTATAAAATGATTTATGCTAGTTGATCAGGCTATCATAAGTTTATCAATTTATTTATTAATCCAACCTTCCAGCTGATTAGAGACTTTTTCAACCTGCAATCAGAGCCCAAATAACCTCGAATATTCTGCTTTTATCGCCCTTAAGACAACTCGTTACTCGCAAGGAGGGGGAAGTTAAAACTTCCCTTATCTTAAGGTTTCTTTATATTATTCTATTATAAACTGTAAAGTAAGTCCCGATAATTCAGAGACCGATCATCGATATGCTTACCTCTGTGCAATTTATGGCCAGGGCCCCAAACGTGAAGCTTTAGAGAAAACCTGAAAGAATCAGGATTATGTTTCTTTTTCAAAAAAGGTTTATTTCAAAATCAAAATACAAAAATGGGTAAATAAAAAACAACTGCTATCCCCCAAGGAGGAATTAGTTCAAAATGATTAAATAAGAGTTAGTTTACACTAGCTCCTGTCTTCTCAGAATCTCCCCAAAACTCTCCCAAGTCTCTTCTTCCAAGAGTCCTCCCCCTCTAAGCTCTGCTTCTCTCCAAAAAACTGCCTGTCATCCCCCATCCAGGGGGACAGGGGATGACCCCTCCAAGCCTGCTCTGTCTCTTCTTGTCGCCTGCCCCAGCTGCTGTCGAATCTCTCTCTCTGCTGTTCAGAGCTGTTCTTATATACCCTTCCTGGGCCAGCTTAAGGTCATGGGGTCATTTACCAGATACACACTTTGTAGCTCAACACAAAACATTTGGTGTCATTTTCACTACATGCAGCATTCTTCTTAACACAGGTCATTACATCATCTTTTGCATTATTCTTCAGTTTCTCTCCAATGTTCCCGAGAGGGCTTCTGGATCTGATGGGCTTGTCTTCACTCTGTTCTCCTCCAATCCCATCTTTCCAAGCCAGGGGTGGGGCAAAGAGGTGGGGTCAGTCTCCTGACCCTTCGCCCAGTTCTGTCCTCTTGTCCCTGTGACCCTTGTGTGACCCTTGTTTCTGACCACAGTTTTTTGACCTGCAGCCCAGCTCCTGTCGGCTGGCTGATTTTGCTCGCACAAGCCAGTCCAGTATGGCTCACCTTTTGACCCCGTACTTGCCACTGTCTTTGGCATGTGGGACTCGCAACATCCCCCATGCGAGAAAAATCTAGCCAGGGGACTGCAGCAGCCTTCTTTGGGGTGGGGCTGCCTCCTCCTCTGGATCATCTTTATCTCCAGTCTCAGACCCAGAGTCTGACAGCTCAGAGTTCAGATACACACCATCATCATCATCATCATCATCACTCACTTCAGTCTCTGAAGAACCAGATGTTTGTTCATGAGGGTTCAGAACTGGGTTCCTGCTTCTCCACCAGTTTCTGTGGCCATCTGGTCAGCTGAGCTGCTGGTTGGAACATCTCAGTCTCCACCTTCAAGCACAGACTCTCTCCCTCCAGACTGAAGACATTTTTTACTGCAGAGCTTCAAATATTCTCCTCACACACCTGAACAGCAACAAGCTAACTCTGCTAGCAGCTGCTGGTGGGAAGCTTACGCTAAAAATTATAAAGTGTGGCAAGGTGGATAAATAAGGACCAGGCGGGATTCGATCCCGAGACCTTCGGGGTGGGAGTCATACGCTCTAACCACTCAACCGAAGGGACATCCCCATAGCCAAATGGCCAGGGCGCATTATCAATGGAGACATCGTGACAGAACGCTCACACTGTCACACCTTCCCCCCTCTTTCCACAAGCGCGTCCTCGTACTTCCGCGCAGGGTGCCACAAACTTCACATCCACGGACCTACTTGACAGTACTACATGGATCCTGCCAACAACACCATATGTGGCAAGGTTAAAAATGCTTACTCATTATTAGTGTAGCTGTCTGTCAGGTCAGAATCATACGGAGCTGTTAGTTCAGGACTCTCCCTTCTCAACAGAACTAGTAGGGGGAGGGGTGATGTCACCACATCCTGCTTGTCTGTTGTTGCTCAGCTGACTGAGTGCTTTTTCTCTGTTCAGCTGTGGCTTCTCATATCTGCAGGCTGCCGAGAGCGGAAGCTAGGTGCTTGTTTCAAGCAGATCCTCTAAAAACAAAGTTTAATTGGAGCAGAGTTCCAATGCTCCCAGTTATAAGTCCGTCCTTTACAGGCGGCACAGTTTCTCCCCTCACGGAGCCCTTAAGCACAGAGGTTCACACATTATACATGTTCCCGGCTTCTAGCCTCCCCATTGCGCGTAACGATACACATTTGCAGATTCTATGAAGCCCGGAAACATAGCCACTTTACAATCTTTAATACAATCCCCCTTCGTTAACAGGATTAGGCCCGGAGCATCTGAGATCTTACAAGTCATTTCTTCACTAGATTTTGATCCAGCCATGACGTTTAATCGCATCTCACTTGTGCCTCAGCACCTGGACAGCGCCCCGCCGCAGCTCCATACTAGCTTTTCCAGCCTCATTCTGAAAGCTCCGGTTACAGGATACTGAAAGATCTATCTGCCATGGCTGGTTAAAAGTTTCTCTTTTTTCATTTATTTTATTTTTATTCGTTTTCACGTCTTATTCTTTATTCTTACTCTTTATTCCTTTTTATTTTTCTTATTATTTTTTTTGCCTAGCTTTTATCCTTGGCTATTCTTACGTCGGAAAGCCGTGATTTCTTTATACCTCTTTGAGTTAATCTTCCGTTCTCCCAAATTTCTTTCCTTTTCGAGAAATTGGTGCGGTTTTCACTCCAAGGTTATAAGCTTATCCGGTCCATGGTGCGTAAGCTTTTAGAAGCCTAAAAGACATAGTTCTACGTCGAATAGTCCGGTATCTAATATTTGAACCTTTGCTCTGTAGCCCCACATTGGTGCGCCATGTCGCAAATGTGGCATTTGTAGTGCCCCACGTTGGGAAGCCATGTCGCGTGCCCGTCCCATTTACCGGTTCCTTTAAAACCCAGTTCCATTAGAACTTATGAGACGGTGCATCCATCAGGGTTCGAGGGGATGTCGGCGAGTATAATTGTACTAGACCCGGGTTTGGACCATCTAATTAGAATCTTGTCTTTTATTTTAAAGGTGAAATGACTTGCTCGAATAGCCAGCCCCAGAGTACTACACTTCTTTTAAACTCGTTACCTTTTGGTTAAGATACTAGAGAGAAGTCTGGAGGCAAGCCAAGCCTCTCAGCAATTGTTTGGATTACCCGGAATTAATTGCGCCTCTAACAGCTTATGTGGGAGGTTGGTAACTATAAAATGATTTATGCTAGTTGATCAGGCTATCATAAGTTTATCAATTTATTTATTAATCCAACCTTCCAGCTGATTAGAGACTTTTTCAACCTGCAATCAGAGCCAAAATAACCTCGAATATTCTGCTTTTATCGCCCTTAAGACAACTCGTTACTCGCAAGGAGGGGGAAGTTAAAACTTCCCTTATCTTAAGGTTTCTTTATATTATTCTATTATAAACTGTAAAGTAAGTCCCGATAATTCAGAGACCGATCATCGATATGCTTACCTCTGTGCAATTTATGGCCAGGGCCCCAAACGTGAAGCTTTAGAGAAAACCTGAAAGAATCAGGATTATGTTTCTTTTTCAAAAAAGGTTTATTACAAAATCAAAATACAAAAATGGGTAAATAAAAAACAACTGCTATCCCCCAAGGAGGAATTAGTTCAAAATGATTAAATAAGAGTTAGTTTACACTAGCTCCTGTCTTCTCAGAATCTCCCCAAGTCTCTTCTTCCAAGAGTCCTCCCCCTCTAAGCTCTGCTTCTCTCCAAAAAACTGCCTGTCATCCCCCATCCAGGGGGACAGGGGATGACCCCTCCAAGCCTGCTCTGTCTCTTCTTGTCGCCTGCCCCAGCTGCTGTCGAATCTCTCTCTGCTGTTCAGAGCTGTTCTTATATACCCTTCCTGGGCCAGCTTAAGGTCATGGGGTCATTTACCAGATACACACGTTGTAGCTCAACACAAAACATTTGGTGTCATTTTCACTACATGCAGCATTCTTCTTAACACAGGTCATTACATCATCTTTTGCATTATTCTTCAGTTTCTCTCCAATGTTCCCGAGAGGGCTTCTGAATCTGATGGGCTTGTCTTCACTCTGTTCTCCTCCAATCCCATCTTTCCAAGCCAGGGGTGGGGCGAAGAGGTGGGGTCAGTCTCCTGACCCTTCGCCCAGTTCTGTCCTCTTGTCCCTGTGACCCTTGTGTGACCCTTGTTTCTGACCACAGTTTTTTGACCTGCAGCCTAGCTCCTGTCGGCTGGCTGATTTTGCTTGCACAAGCCAGTCCAGTATGGCTCACCTTTTGACCCCGTACTTGCCACTGTCTTTGGCATGTGGGACTCGCAACAAAAGTAGCTAAGGGTCCTCAGAAATGTAGCTAGCTTTGTCACTAGGCGTTAGGAACAGCGACAAAGTCACTGAGTTGGCACTGCCTCTCTCTCTGCTGCTAAAGCTGCGGATAGCAAATGCTACGGGCTATGCCTGAGCGTGAATGCGCATGAAGCAGCCTGCTCGACCCGAGCAGCTCTCTTTTTCTGTGATCAGGGTCGGCTTTGGCGACAGGCGACACAGGCGGCCGCCTGGGGTGCCATCTGATGGATAGGGCGCAAAATTTCAAAAAAAGAAAAGAAAAAAAAAGTTTATTACATTTATGTTTGTAATATGAAATACACTCTCTACATACTCAAAATTCCCCTCTGAAATGACATGAAATTAAAACATCAATATTTAAATTCTAATGATCTGGCTGCATGACGAGCTCCCGCTTGGGCCACCGCTCCGACGCATTTGACCGTTAAGGGTGCCGTAGATCACGTGCGTGGGTAGCACTGTAGAAGGACTTCCTGTTGTCGTCGCGTTTAAACTTTTGGTATTTTACGATGAAAAGAACACCTAAGCCATCGGGATCAGCATTCCGAAAGCGAAGGAAGGAGGAAGAAAAAAAAAACGGGCCCAAAGCAGAGGTATGTAGACTTTATAAATTTGGCAAAGGAACTTTTTGCGTTACCATTGTAGCTAACTGCCTCTTCTGCCACACACGGTCCACGGACGGACCCTCGCTAGCTGTTTACATTCACAATACAGTATCTCATAACTTTAACCAATTAATTTTACTTTTGAATCGTCGTGTCCAAATGCAGTGAGACAATATCTGCAGCCACACAGGCACCTGTTGACACCATGAGGGGCGGGACTGTCTTCTACACCTGTTGAGTCTCACTGTGATGATGAAGAATGTAAGACTTTTTTTTTTACTGTTTTTTTGGAGTATGATTGCAGCCTTTTTATCAACTTCCATTCAAGTTGTAAGTACGCATACAATACGAATTTAATATTTTCATATCAGAAGAACGTTAGGTGTGGGTGTAGCAAAATTTCAACTTTGTCCGACACATCGGGCATGCGGCACCGCCGCGGCCGTGGCGGGGACTCCCCCGCTGCCGCCGATCCCGCGTCTGTGTTTCCTTGTTTAATAAATGAAATCCTCAGAGTGCCTCAGATCACCGGTTCTTCTTCCTCATATTCTACAATTTATTTGATGCTGAAGAGCACCTGAGAGTGAGACATACGTTTTTTCAACTATTCCCCATGGATGCGCTCACTTCCACCTGTTTTTGATAATTTTATTCATGTTTTCATAGAACAGATTAAAAAAAGATCAATAAAATAAAAAGCAACATTAAAAATAATGAAAAGCATCACTGCACATGACTGAGGAATATTGAATGTGAAAGTGGCACTGTTCTTAATTCATGCATCAGAGGGTTAAGTTGCTTTGTGTGTGTGTGTGTGTGTGTGTGTGTGTGTGTGTGTGTGTGTGTGTGTGTGTGTGTGTGTGTGTGTGTTTATTTTCTCACAGAAGAAGAACACAACACCAGCAGACTCAGTGCTCCAATCCAACAGCCTGAAGAGACACCATCATCAGCTTCAACAGATGTCTGTGAACATGTAGGAGCTGCTGGCCCCATGGATCCTGCTGACTGGCCACAGCTGTTGAACAAATTGGAAAGTAGAACTTTCTTTATGATGACACTTTGATATTTGAGTTTTGTTTTTGATTGCACAGTTTAATGCTGCTTTTGATTTTGTATCCCCCCCAATGACATTTGCACAACATTTTGAGTTGTTGGTTATTGTAATATTCTCAGGTTACTTATCTTTCAAGCTTACATTTATTCTTCAGGCTGTTGACTTTAAAGAGTTGCTGTGTGAATATTTAAAATAAAAAATTGGTAACTAAGGAATAACTGTGCAGTTGCTTTTACCAATGTGTGGTGGGTGGGTGGACTTGGGTTTGGGTGAGAGGCGTGCGGGCAGGGTGGTGGTGGTGGGGGGGGTGGGGGAGTGGTGGGGGGGGTGGGGGGGCAAATGGGCAGTTTGCATTTGGGCACCAAATTACCCTGTCTGTGATTTTACAGAAAAACAGGCAATCACAGTAAAAATGCCAGGGCTCATTCTACTTTCTTTCATTCTACAGGACCAGGGCATTGCAGGAGAATGTATGAATTATTTCTATACATGTTTTTCTCTCTTCACTATAGGTAATGGGTTATTGATGAACATATTGATAAAATCCATGACAAGACCAAACCAGGCCGGATCCGGCTCCAACTGCTGAATGTTCCTAATGATAAATGCTTCAAATCACAGCGCTGCTTCTTCAGTCTCACCATTGCTTAGGGCTTCCATCTGTTTGTTCTGCCTCTCTCCTCATCCTCGACTCCTTTGCTGCTTCTTCACATGATGCACACTCAGCAGGAAGCATTCGTCAATGAACCGTCTCATTAATATCGGAGAGGAATTGCTAATGAGAGATAATAAGGTTTCCAGCAGTACCAGGACCTGTGTGTGTTCAGGATGTAACAAGTTTTGCCTCATCTGAGCCCCAGAACCAAAACAAACAAACAGGAAGTAGATGCACCCTGGGTGCTTCACCTGTTCACCCAGCGGATAGCCCTTGTTGACCTAGCTAGCACTCGCCTAGCAAAACACAGGGTAGGACAATCACTTTCACAGAATTCCAAAACAACCCTGCGGAATTCCTGAAAGGCGGAAAACTGGGTTGCTGCTTTAAATCTAATGTTTAAATAAATGACCAGGCTGTTCTCACCCATGTGTGTGTGTGTGTGTGTGTGTGTGTGTGTGTGTGTGTGTGTGTGTGTGTGTGTGTGTGTGTGTGTGTGTGTGAGTGTTTGTGTGTGTGTGTGTGTGTGTGTGTGTGTGTGTGTGTGTGTGAGTGTTTGTGTGTGTGTGTGTGTGTGTGTGTGTGTGTGTGTGTGTGTGTGTGTGTGTGTGTGTGTGTTTGCTCAGACCCATAATTACACACAGTTCCAAAGGACTTTGTCTTTCTCATCATTGATCTTTTCTTCCTCCATCCGTCATTCCTCTCATTATTTCTTCATATCCTTATTGTTTTGCTGCAGTGTCGACCGTCCTCTCTCCTAAACGTCCCCGGCGGTCCCTGTACCTCCAGGCAGGACTCATTTGTCTCTTTCTTTGCGTTTCTCTCTGTTTACTGTCCCGGTTTTTCCTCTGAGGTCCGTCTCACTGCACCGTCCAGAGTCGGGTTTTGGTGAGGTGAAGCTTCTTTCACATGTGTACGAGAATTAGTTACCCTTTGAAGATTACTGAAAATGAATCGTTGATCAGACCAAAGTAAATGAACATGTGTATTCAGGTTATCTATGGATGAATGAAGATGCTAGAACTTCCTGTTTCTGAGTTAAAGGGGCATTATTTGGCAGGAAGTAAAGACCAGGAGACAAGCTAATTTCTCTGTAAGCCACATTTCTGATGCAACATCTGATCTGAATGAGATATTTCCAGAGTGAGGATGAGCCAAACAAACATATAAGACATGTTCAGTTGTTGAGCTGGCACCAGCTTCAGACACCCGAACTCCACCGGTATTAACGGCATTTGTGTTTGCTGCCCCCTACACTCTGGATTTGAAACAGGCCCTGTCTCTCATTCACTTCAAGTCCCTCCTAAAACCTATTTCTATGACTTGGAATTTGGCCATTGGCTGTTTTTCTACTCTTTCTTTTCTAGTTGTTTGTTTCTGTTTATATTGTCAGATCTCACACCGTGTTTTAATTGTGCTTTTTAAATAAACTTGGTGCGTTATGGTGTGTTGTGGTGAGTTATGGTGTGTTATGGTACAGTGTGTTATGGTGTGTTATGGTATGTGTAGCGATTAAATTTACATATTATTTAATTAACCATAAAATGTGAGATTCCATATGAAATATGAAATCAATCTTATACAGGTGCTGGCCAGTAAATTAGAATATCATCAAAAGGTTGAAAATATTTCAGTAATTCCATTCAAAACGTGAAACTTGTACATTATATTCATGCAATGCACACAGACCAATGTATTTCCAATGTTCATTACATTTAAATTTGATATTCATAAGTGACAACTAATGAAAACTCCAAATTTGGTATCTCATTTGGTAACACACATTGAGACGCCATTCTGTCTGCCTACGTACCCTTTCGGAAGTCCCTGTCTAGATCAGGAATGTCGAGATCCAGCTTGACCCTCTCTGGAACCGAAGCCGGTAGGAAAAGCAGCGGTTGCCAACTCAAACCAGTCTTGAGATACTTCCGGGTCACAACAGTTTATTGGCATCTAACAAGACCCTAAACGGGGTCGTGATGGTTCAGCTTTTATTCTGAAAGGAACTGTTGCTTGGTTGGTAAAGTACAACAGATTTTATCCAGCTTGTCGTTGGTTCTTTTGGCTGAAGAGGAAAGTTACGGATTGGCCACTCCGACAACTTCTCTAGAATGCTTTGAACTGGCGTTAAAGATGACGTGGGCATAGTTTTATAATTTGGATGTTTTGATTTACGGTCGAATTAAAAGAGGACAGATTTACAAAGCACCACCAAAACCACGTCTCCATCAGATCTGGAAGATTCTGATTGGATCAGTAAAAGCAAAGTGTCATGTCACCTTACGTGTAATCAGTCTGTAGTGGAAACATTTTAAGTTATATTACTTATTATATTCTGTAGGATGATAATATCAAGTAATTAATATTTTCATTTCACAAATTGGTTCACATTTTTTTATTGACTAACACTTTGTTTGATTAGCTTATTAAAAATAGAGTTCTTTGATTTATTAAAAAGAAAGAGTCTTTTGTCATCATTCTTCTCTTGAGCTGGAAAATAAGAAACAGTTTAGAAGCAAATGCATGAGACCTTGAGCAATATCTCATGCAGATTAGTTCTTGTTGAGGAAAGGGGGGAAACGCCTTTTAGGTGGAAAACAGTCATTTCATTCTGTTACATATAGTATGTTGTGTTATGATGTGTTATGGTATGGTACGATGTGTTATGGTGTGGTGTGTTATAGTATGGTATGGTGTGTTATGGTACGGTGTGTTATGGTACAGTGTGTTATGGCACGGTGTGTTATGGTGTGGTGTGTTATGGTATGGTATGGTGTGTTATGGTGTTATATGGTGTGTTATGGTATGGTGTGTTCTGGTGTGGTGTGTTATGGTATGGTATGGTGTGTTATGGTATGGTGTGTTATTGTATGGTACTGTGTGTTATGGTGTGTTATGGTATGGTACGGTATGGTGTGGTGTGTTATGGTATGTTACTGTGGGTTATGGTGTGGTGTGTTACGGTATGGTACGGTGTGTTATGGTGTGGTGTGTTATGGTAAGTTATGATGTGTTGTGTTATGGTGTGATGTGTTATGGTGTGTTATAGTGTGTTGTGGTGTGTAATGGTGTGTTGTGGTGTGTCATGGTGTGTTATTGTGTGTTGTGTTATGGTGGGTTATGGTGTGGTGTGTTATGGTGTGTTATGGTGTCTTGTGGTGTGGTGTGGTGTGTTATCGTGTGTTATGGTATGTTATGTGTGTTATGATGTGTTATGGTGTGTCATGGTATGGTGTGGTGTGTTATGGTATGGTATGGTGTGTTGTGGTGTGTTATGGTGTGTTATTGTGTGTTGTGTTGTGTTATGGTGTTTTATGGTGTGGTATGTTATGGTGTGTTATGGTGTCTCGTGGTGTGGTGTGTTATGGTATGGTATGGTGTGTTATGGTATGACACGGTATGTTATGGTGTGGTGTGTTATGGTTTGTTATGGTGTGTTGTGGTGTGTTACAGTGTGATGTGTTATGGTGTGTTATGTTGTGTTGTGTTATGGTGTGTTGTGGTGTGGTGTGTTATTATGTGTTGTTTTATGGTGTGTTATTGTGTGATATGGTGTAGTGTGTTATGATGTCTTATGGTGTGGTATGGTGCGGTGTGTTATGTTGTGGAGTGTTGTGGTGTGTTGTGTAATGGTGTGGTGTGTTATGGTGTGTTGTGGTGTTTTGTGGTGTGTTGTGGTGTGTTATGGTGTGTTGTGGTGTGTCACAGTGTGTTATGGTGTGTTGTGGTGTGGTGTGGTGTGTTATGGTGTGTTATGGTGTGTTGTGGTGTGTTCTGGTGTGTTGTGGTGTGGTGTGTTATGCTGTGGTGTGTTATGCTGTGTTGTGGTGTGGTGTGTTATGCTGTGTTATGGTGTGATGTGGTGTGGTGTGTTATGGTGTGTAATGGGATGGTTGGTTGATGTTCTAACTAGAAATCCATTGACTTTGCTGGCAAAACGCATAAGGGCTTGTGAAACCTCATCGACCTGATTGTGTCACAGGTGCTTTATTTGGGCTTTGGAGGTTGTTCATGTTTTTTGTATCTGGTGTTTTCTATCTCACACACTTATTTCCATCTATTTTCTCTTTCCGATTTCTCAATCTTCAGGATTTCAGGCCGACTGACCAGGAAGCAGAAAGCCACCTTTCATGTCAACTAAAGGATTTCTGCATCAAAACAAATGAAAACAAAATACAGTTTTCACAGTTTCATTTATGAAAGAAACAAACTGCTCTAAATCAACCTAGGCCTGTCAGCTCCAGGACCAGGACCACCATGAATTCTGCTCTCCAGAACATCCTGAAGGAGAACGTCTCCTTAATCACCATTATCCGGTCTGGTGCAGGAAAGCTCTCCAATGTGCCTGAATTCAGACGCTCCTGTAGAAAAGAGCTGGGCAGAAGTCCTCCACAGGGATGAGAGACTCTTCAGGGGGTATCAGAGTCACTGAGACTGCTGATGCCTCCCAGGGTGCTAGTTAGCAATGTACAGTTAGGTTTAGGGGTTAGGGCGAAGGTGGAAATAGACTCTGGCCTATGTTGATCTGCTGCAGCGTGGACCACCACAGCAGTTCCATCTCTACTGGATTCTTCCAGTTTCGCCTGAGGAGAAACTGTTTCACCTACGGGAGACCAAACACCTACAGGCGTCCTGAATCAGTCATTAGGCGTTAAAATTAATGATTTCATTTTAATCTCCTTTCCTCTCTATGTTCTGGAGTTTCTCTGCTTCCTCCTGCAGGAGTGACAGTGAAACACAGCTATATTAAGCTCTGTTCTGGAGAACTGACTTAGATTATTGTTCCCTGCCTGATAACAGCTGTCATCTGTGCGGACACAGCAGAGCTAAATCCTTACATGGCTGTCACTTTCACTGTTAACTTACAATGCGAGTCAGAAGAGACTGTGAAAGGGAAGGAGAGCAGGATTACAGATTAAACTCAGTTCTACAGACAAATCATAAACTCAGTTCATTCTGCATGAAGTCAAACAGCCCTGTTTAGATCAACTGAAGAAACTATCAGTAATCCAATGGATTGGTTGTAAACTAATAAAACATTCTAATCCAAGAACGTTTCCAGATGAAACAAATAAAATAGTCTTGATTAGAAGAAGTTTTATTTTGAAGGACATATTCCAAAATTATTAAAAACAAAGTCCACGTGGTTGATTGGATTTAGGTGTTTTATTAGAGATTTAGATGGCATCAGCGACAGGCTCAGCGTGTCACAGCTGCTCCTCCTCATCGAAAGGAGACAACTGAGGAGGTTTAGAGGTCTCACCATGGCGCCTCCTGTTAGTGGATGTTTTCCAGGCAGTGTTTCAGACCTAGAACTAAGTGGAAGGATTATTCCTCCTCTCTAGTCATCAAACTCTTTAGGATTCCCAGGAGGAGCTAAGGAGTGAGTGACGGAGGAGGGAGGTCTGAGCCTCGCTCTTGAATTTGTTACTGGGACAATATGACCTGAGAGAAGGACAACAATATAGATGGATTGTTGTTAATTGTTGTAGTGTGGAGTCCTCTAGGGTCCACTAAGGTCCTCTAAAGTCCACTTAGGTCCTCTAGCGTCTACTAAAGTCCACTAGAGTCCACTAAGGTCCACTAAAGTCCACTAAGGTTCTCTAGAGTCTGCTAAGGCCCTCTAGAGTTTACTAAAGTCCACAAGAGTCCACTAAAGTCCTCTAGAGTTTACTAAAGTCCACTAGAGCCATCTAAGGTCCTCTAGAGTCCACTAAGGTCCTTTTGAGTCTACTAGAGTCCACTAAGGTCCTCTAGAGTTTACTAAAGTCCACAAGAGTCCACTAAGGTCCACAAAAATAAACAATAATGAACAAGAGTCTACTTCTAGACCTGCAGAAAGAGAGAAAAAAAATGGGACACAACAGCAATACAACAAGATCAAGCTATCACTGCGTCAACTTGAAGAAATATATAACTGACATAGTTCAACTGAAAAACCACACGATAATAAATCACAGTGAATTAAGTGCCCACCATAGCCTTAAGACATGTGTTGAACGTGCCCAAGTCCATTCTTATGAGAGCACCATGTGAGCACCTATGTGTGTACATGCACTTGTTTATGAAAGGTTTCTCTATAGAAGCGTCCAATAGAGAGTGTGAGGGGCCACAGATCTGCCCCCTAAAGATGTGCAGGAGACAGGGGGAGTGCCAAGTCCCAGAGATCCAGGAGCTGCCTCAGAGCACAGGAACCCCAATGAGACTGCGACCAGAAAAGCCCTTACCCCCTCAAGAGGCGCAGAGGATCGCCATGGGGGGCCACAACCAGTAGCCGGCAGAGTCCCGGGAGATATCGGCGGCAAACCCACAGGCCCGCCCGTAGCCTCCCACCCCCTAGCCGGCCGAGCCTGGGACCCAATGACCCGGGACCCAGGGGCGACCACCCCCGCCGGGGACCCAGCAGAGCCCAGGGACCCAGACCCCACCAGGCAGCCACCGGGATTGGTCAGGAAGATGCCAAAAATCTTAAACTCCCTGACCCGGTAGCTACGACCCAGGCAGACCAAGGCACCTCACTCCACACCAGGTGTGGCAGGGACAGGTGAGATGAAGATCTATTTCATCAAAAGAAGTCCCAAGAGAAGGGAGGAGTCAAAGGCCCCACCTGACATATACAGTCATACACAAACACAGTCACACACTCCTTCCCTCATGCTCACACATACACATACAACCAAAGACGTACAAAAATGCACGCTGGACACCCACTCATGATCCCCATACACACCCTATTCACTCTGGTCCTGGTACTGCTGCGCATGGGGTACAACCATTGCCGGTTCCCAGAGTTCGACCCTTTCTGCTGGGGTGCTGATGAGCAGGCTCCCCGGCCCAACGCTGAGCACATCAACCCACCACCCCAGACCCCAACTGGATGGCCGGATCTCCCTCCTAGCCTCCAGCCCCAGGAAGCCAAGCAACAACAGAGGTGTGCTAAGACCCCCCTAGTCTCGCTCCGCCTGCTCCAATATGGTGTTAGTGAGTGTTGATGAGGTGTATTCCATGGCTGTGGTGAGCGGGCAGTGCGGGCATCGTCTGGCCTATGTCAGCTGATGCCAACACACCACCCCACTTGCACCCACAGCCCTCAGTGTCTAAGTGCAGTTTAAAATTAGAAGTGGGCACCGGCACTTGGGATGAGGCTGAAAGATCCCCTTGCCAAATGCCGTTGAATGTGCTCACTCCCAAGGCTCTAAGTGTGTGTTTGCGTGGAATGTCGTTGGTGGAAGTGTTTAAGGTGCAAATAAAATTGGGGGGCAGTTGCCACAGGAATGCAGAAATGGGGTTAGGGTTAGGGTTAGTGTTTGTGTTTTAATGGCTTTTAAATGGGTTTTAGTTCTTTAAGCTTAAGAGCTTTTAGAGGTTTTTAACAGAGGGACCAGAGTGTTGGTTTCCTCTTGGCTCCCAAACTTGTGTGTAAGTCAGTGGACTTTGATTGTGAAGGTTTGGGAGCATTCGGATGTCTGTTTTAAACGTAAGCCCTTGGCCATTTTAACACTGTGTTTTAAGTACTTTTAGATTTGGAGCTTTTTGTCATTTTAAAATCCTTTTATTAAAATCAATGTTTACAATTTCCACACCCGAAACACATGCCTCTGTGTTACTCCCCGCCCTTCTCCTTATCCACCAATAGGGGACGTAACATTACACTTTAATCCTTTAATACCTGTTGTTTGCCTAATTGCTGCCGCTAGTGGTTTGATAAAGATAGCAAACGGTGAGGGAGAGAGTGGGCATCCCTGCCTGGTCCCCCTCTGAAGACAGAAACTAGCTGATATTTGGTCATTTGTCCTGACACGTGCATTTGGTTAATTGTATAATGTTTGTTGCCAGTTTATGAAGAAGTTCCCAAAACCAAATTTATGTAAAGTTGCAAATAAGAACTTCCAGTTAACTCTATCAAAAGCCTTTTCTGCATGTAGAGATAATATACTAGTTTCTATGTTTCTTTTGTAAGAGAAATCTATCAAATTGAGTAATCTACATGAGTTAGTGGATGACTGTCTACCCTTGATGAAACCAGTTTGGTCAGGGTGTATTATGAAAGGGGTTACCTTCTCTAATATTTTTGCCAGGGCTTTACAAATTATTTTGAGATCAATATTAATAAGAGAAATTGGGCGATAGCAGGGTCTTTGCCTGGTTTTAACAAGAGACTAATATTGGCTGAATTCATGTTTGGCTGTAATCTGCCGCTCTCTTTGATTTCCCTCACCATTCTGAAAAATGTTGGAGCCAGAATGATCCAGAATTCTTTGTAGAACTCTACTGGGAACCCGTCTGGACCTGGAGCTTTCCTATTAGTCATGAATTTAAGGGCTTCCTGGAGCTCAGCTGATGTTAGTGGTGAGTCCAGGACTGTAACTTGGCTGTCTGATAATTTAGGAAGTGTTATCCTATCAAGGAACTCATTGATCTCGTTATCTGATGGGTTTATCTGTGGTGAGTACAAAGTTTGGTAAAAGTCTCTGAAAGTGTTGTTTATTCTTTCAGGGTCATAAACCATATTCCCGGTTGAGTCTTTAACTGCAGATATGGTAGTTTTCTCTTTATTTATTTTTAATTGGCTAGCTAAAAATTTACCTGATTTATTACTATGTTCAAAGTTTTCTATTCGTAGTCTTTGTGCTAAAAATTGTCTTTTTGTCAATAATTCCATGAAGTTCTAATTTAGCTTCACGTAATTTGCTCAGTAAATCTTCTGTGGATGCCTCTAAAGACTTAATGATTTCTTCTAACTCCTGAATACGTTTGTTTTCTGTTTTTTTCTTATGTGATGAGAAAGAGATTATTTTACCTCTCATCACTGCCTTTCCTGCCTCCCAGAGAACAGTTGCTGATGTTCCAGGCAGGTCATTATGTTCTAAATATAAAGCCCACTCCTTTTTAAAAAAATCTATAAAACCTTTGTCTTTAAGCAGTGATGTATTAAACCTCCAGTTTTTGCTTGGTGGGATTGTCTTCTTGTTTACCAGAGTTAAAGAGACCGGAGCATGGTCGCTGACAACTATGGGGTGTATCTCAGTGTCTGAAATGTCAGCCAACAATGAGCTGCTGACTAGAAAATAATCCAAACGTGAATGAGAGTGATGGACGTGTGAGAAAATGTATACTCTCTACGGTTAGGATGAAGAGATTGCCATGCATCACAAAGCCCATAATAACTCATGTACTGTTTAACTATATTAGTGGATTGCCAATTGCTGAGTCCCAGCTGTACTGAGCCATTCTGTTAAAGAGTTCATCCAAAAATTAAAATTGCCTCCAAGTATAGGTGGACAGTCCAAGTGTTCTGAGAGTACAGAGAAACAATTCTGAAAAAATGAAGGGTCATCAATATTTGGACAGTATATGCTGACAGGCACATAAGCTTTGGTTCTGTACAGATATTTTTAACATTATAAATCTACCCTCTGGATCAGAGACTGTGTCCAATACTATGAAATTGATGTTTTTGTGTACTAAAACAGCTGCACCTCTTTGCCTAGAGTTATAGCTGGCAGAGAACATGCTGGGAAACTCAAGTGTTTTAAGTTCATCTGCAGATTTGGCAGATCTATGAGTCTCTTGTAATAATATTACATCTGCTTGCACTCTCTTTAGCTGATCAAAAATCTTTAATCTTTTCTCTCT